TGTTCTCTTTGTTTTCCTTCCTCTCATCATTCCCCCCAAGAGGAAGGTCTGGATTTTTCCACTTTTTGCCTTTCTAGTTGCATATCAATAATAATGAGCAAAGGGACTTGACCCATCGGTTATTGTTTCCTGTATGTATCTGCAACCTCCAGACAAAGACCAGATCACATTGTGCTGAGCACTGTGCAAACACGAAGTGCAGAGTGCATTTCCATCTGGAATATTAGCGGTTCTCTCCCCTGCCCCCTGCTCCTTCCCCATTAGCTGCACAGCAGAAAGGGGCTAAAAGATTTGTTCTAAGATGGGTACACAGGTGGGTAAACCTGTTCATTGTGCCCATATCATATAGCTTTGAGAACAGGTGGGGAGAGAGGGAGTCAGAAAACGTACAGGGTGGAAGAGGTGCAGTTGGGGTTTCGATTTTTTCTTTTATTTTGCTTATTTTGACGTTTGATTCATGGTGACTGTAGGTTTCAGAAACGTCGTTCAGTTAAGAAGTCAGTTTTTCACTTCAAGGTGTTCTCTTAACAACTAGGTAACTGCATTGTACAACTAGTGCACAGTCTATCACTGTGATAAAAGTGATAAGGGAATGCCTATTAATCTGATACTAACCAAAGCCCATGCAAGTCTTACTCCTTCACAAACTTGATAGCGGGCTCTCTCTTATATCGTGGAGAATTTGTGGTTTATTAGTGTGCTAGGAATAGGACTTAACTTGCCTTAGCTCCCTATCAGCTGAAATACCTGCTTAATCCTCTCTGTCTTTTCAGTGACTTGCCCTCTCAGGTGTGTTTTAAAACTAAGGAGAAAAGGGTTGAGATTCCAGTGCCAGAGAGTTCCAGCATGGTGACAATAACCACAAACAGCATCGGTGGAACTGCTTTTGCTACCAAAGAATTTGAAATTCACAAGAAAGACATCTGTAAGTATCAGGTTTTATGTTTATAAGTGAGGCCTTTATAATGTGATTAACAGTGCTCCAGAAATATACATATGCTCCAGAAATATGTATGTATATATGCTTGCATCTTCTTTGTTATTGTCCCTGTATGTAAAATGTTGATGTACTGAGTCCATCTAAATCTGCCATACATAATAGTTTTTTCTCTCTCCACCTTCAGTGGAAAGAAAACTCTTCTTGTCCATAGACCATAGCAGAGCAATCAAGGGCAGAAAATGAAGAGGAAAACAAAAGTCAACATCGTTACATCCCCCTAATAATTCTTTACCTTTTTTTCCCTAATTGTAAATTAGGAAGGATTTGCAAATGAGTTCATAATCTACAAGTTCCTTATCTACATACTGAAGTACTTGTATGGGGCATAGAGTGCGTTTGGTTACAATTGGCTTGGGAAAGGCAGAATAAACTTTCTAGTGCCTGTTCTCCCTTTTTAAATGCTAAATAGATACTGAATGAAGTAAGTTTTTTCTGCAATTTTACAACATTTTAACAGACATTGTATGTATGTAACTCCTGACAGGATCATATTTTCTTAATAAGTGCCAAATTTATCCATTCTGTTCAAATGTATTTGAAACTGAGCAAATATGTTTATGCTTGGGAGGTAGGCTACATCATATTGGTGTGATAGATAAAGTAGACATTTTCCCCAGTTCCTTCGTCCCAAAGGAGGAAGTTGTAAGCTGAAAATGGTGCTGACTCTACCTGCCACACTTGCTCATAATTGCCTTTGGCTTTGGTTTGCCGGCTTACTCCTTTGGTGCAGTCAAATTCTAAAGTCAGTAGCACTTCTGATCCATGGTTCAGTTTTCTCTTCAGGTGAGAGCAGCTCAAGAACTTTCAGAAAACACGCATATTAACATATTCAAAAATATGTGGTCAGCACACTGGGATCTGCAACATCTTGCTGACTCCAGGCAGCAGGATGAGTCTCAGGTTCACCACAGATTATCCCCAGTAGTGTGTTGACTGTACTGAACACTTTGCAGGCTCTCAGAGCCTTGGCCAGGACCAAAGTTGCATAAATTACACATTTTAAAAACAGGATTTATCTTCACCAGGGCCAGTGAACTGCCATAACCCTTGTACTACCATGATCCTTGCCTGCTTCTTAGCCTCTTCCTTCACCACCACCCATTCATAGAAGAGATACTTCTGTTTAATATTCCTGTTCTGTCCCCATCATGTCATGCCTTTAATATTTCTTCTAGCTTAAAATCATATTCCGCATGATCCTCTTCAGAGCCTCATGTAAACTTCTTCCATCCTGTGGTTCTGCTTTCTCCCTACTCTTGCTTTTGTTGCAAGTCCCCTCTTCCCTGCTGGTCTCCCAAACACATTTCTCCCTTTGGGTTTTTTTCCATCATCCTCCCTAGATGTGTGGTCATGAACACTTCAAAGGTTGTGAAAAATAGGATGTCTTCTTACTGTGCATTATGAAGAGTAATATTCATGACAGTTACTCACACATCTGCATGCCGAGTTGTTAAAAGAAAATGCTACCTGGTGACTCATCAGCACCTGTGCTTTCCTGGGAACTTTCATGCTCAAGTAATAACAGAGCCCATCTTCTTCTAATTACAGAGGTTGAGTTACATGTTTGTATGGCTACTAGCCAGTTCAGAGCAGAGAGATGTGGCTTTTGAACACCTGTAGGGCTCATGTTGCTGACTAATGACTTGAATATGGCTTTTTCCCCCACCTCTTTTTCAAGCATTTGCTCCTCTCACTCCACACATTCTTAGTTTAACACCGGAATTTTCAACTTCCACATTAAATATGAAGTGGAGTGATAATGGATCAGTCTTCCCGTATGGACTAGATGCCTTTTGGCAGATTCAGATATTCCGTAAAGAAGCAATGGAAAAAGTCACAGAAGTAAGTCCTTTTCTTCCTTTATGAAATATACATATACAGTTTTTGCCGCTGGTAATATTGTGGGAGGTCTCTTGAAGAGAGCAGAGAATAATGCAGATTGTAGATCTTTGCAGAACCTGAGTGTAGTCATGCCTTTGGTAGGTAACTTGTTAAATTTCAAAGTTATGAGGACACTGCCTGCTATACTGTCAGTACTTATTCACAGTCACACTTTTTTTTTTTTTCTTTTTTTTTTTTTTTTTTTAATGTAGTACAGCTGTTTTTATTAGAACTTGCTTGGGAAATTGGCAGATATTTTACACCATTATCTCTGCTTTAGTTCTCTAACAATGTCTCAAGCCGTGGTGGCTTTGAAAGTTCAGGGTTTTGTTTTGGTTTATTTGTTTCCAATCAGTTATTCCAGGCCAATTTGTAGCTCTATTCTATACTTTTCAGGAATGGAGAAAAGATAAAATGTGCAGCGTAGGACTAATATCAGAAGAGTTTCATTTTGGGAAAGTTGGAACATTTCCCTGCCTGGGAGAGGCCCAGGATGCTGGGTTTCAGTATATACCTTTTGAAATGCTTGGCGAGCTTCCTGCTCTACCTTAAATGTCTGCCCTCTGGTATTTCTGGCTGGCAGTCTACCTGGCTGGTGGGCTGTTTAGCATCTTAGGCTTTTGTCCAAGTAAATTCACAACACAACTGAAAGTTACGTGGGACACTCCAACCATCTATCAGAATTTTGCAATCTACATCACTTAATTTGCCATTTCATTGACAGCTGAGAGATTATATGTCGTTATTAACAGGTGTTCATAAACTCTGTGTTTGTTGGTGGTTTTTTTTTTTTGGAAAACATTGTAGGTAACGTACTATTCAAAACTTACTCATGAAGACATCATTCTTTCTTGGAACTGGACATCAGATATGCCTTTGGAGTGTACCTCGCACTATGTGAGGGTTCGCTGTTACATCAATGCCACACAGTTTGATGGCCCCAAGGATTGGAGTGACTGGAGCCCAGTAGAAGAGATCCCTGGTATGTTTGTTCCCTTGCCACCACCTGGACTTTGATTACTTTATAAAACTGGAGGAAATGCATTAAGTGGTGATGGGCTGCTGCGTTGGGGGTGTTTTGATTAGAGAAATAATGCAGTCATTACTTAATGAAATCTAGTAAACATAGATTTCTATGCATTGAAGTGCTCCTCAGTTATGTTTTAGCTATTCAGCGCCATGTTTATAGTAAACTGTTCATGTGGGGTTTTTTTGTTTGTATGTTTTTCTCCTCTTCTTTCTCTGCTAGGAAAAGATACTGAGCCAAATGGGAGCGGGGTGTTTCCTCAGGACAGTGTGGTGGCAGTAGGTTCAGATGTTACAATTTGTTGTGTCCATGAAGAAGGACAGCAGATACAACGGATGACTTATGGATCAGAAGTGTACCCAATGATACGTCTGAGCAGTCGGAGCAGTGCAATCAGAGTGACAAATGCCAGTGCTTCGGATGCCAGTGGGACAAATGTGGTGTGCCTACTGTCTGAATATAATATGGATGGAACTGTCTTGTTTGTAGGATGTATGTATCATCATGTTTACTAACCTTAAGAAAAACAAAGTCATTTTAAGAATTTTAGGGTTTTGCGAGGAAACAAATACTATTGTGGCTTTTTTTACCCTGGCCTTTGGTTTCTCAGGATGAACTGGGGTTGTATTTGTTTGATTTCACTATGGAAATTCCAGCCAATGAAGAAGACACCAAGGCTGGCAGGATGAGGACATAGTCATTTAAGCCCTCTTCTCTTAGAACATGTCCCAGTCCTTCTCTACTTGATCACTGTTTCTAAAGCACTTCTTTGTGATCTGGAATACTTGGTAGTTTATTGCCATATGATGATTCATCCTTAGTCTCTCTCACTTTATGTTTACATCTGTTCTAGTCCGGTCCATGACAAGGTGAGAGCAAGTTCAAGGGCTGTAAGTGAAAACATTAATTTACCAACCAGTCAAAGGGAGACAGTAAAACAGTTAGACTTGAAACAACAAGAGATACTCATCCAGGGCAGTAGCTCACTGGGAGCTAGTTGCAGCAAAGGAACCCAGCTGACAGTTCCTCTTTCCTGAAAAATCTTCTAAACACTCGTCTAGTATTTTCTTTAAAGATACCAAATCACTATTTATCTTCGCTGTGTAACAATGAACCATGTCAGTCTCAGAAATCTCTTCTAGATACCGATACCTCTTAAACTACTGAAAATACTTGGTGGTTCTTTGCCATAATTGTGACCAGTTCAGAGCTTTGTATGTTTGCCCACAGGAGTTTTTAGAGTTACAAATGCCTACCTTTGAACTTAGGATCATTGGGATTTTGGGAAAGGAGAGAGAGAGAGAGAGAGAGAGAGAGAATGACAGGACTCATCTTGAAAGTGTGTTCCCAACATCCTCCTGTGTCTCCTGACATTGACTTCGTATATTAAGTATTATATTAAGTACATTATAGCAAACACAATACAGAATCCAACCTTTCTTGACTTCTCAGTGAGATGCCATTTTTACATTATTTGTGCAGCATTTGCTTTTGTGGGAGCATCTTCCAAGTCAGTGGTTCATGAATGAAGCCTGTGATATCTCATAGGTTTTTTTCCACACAGTGTTTTTTGAAGAGCTGGCATATGGTGAAGTCTGTTTCCTGCCAGTGTTTCTTCTTGTAGTACTTACTTAGTGGGAAGGAAGATGACTTGTCGTGATGCTCTTGCTGATGACGGACATTTAGGGAAGACAAGGTAGAGAAAGTAGATTTGTATACCCACTGCCTTTGTTAAGCCTAGGTCTGGCAAAATAAGCGTTCTTTTTGGCCCACTGCTTATAATCTGAACTAAGCCCTGACTTGCCTTTGTATTAGTGACCCTTCTGTAGGGCACTGTCTTTCTCATGGATATTATTGTGCTACCTTTATGGAAAAAAAGTATGGGAGACTTGATAGAGTGTTCTGCTTGTCTCATGTTAGCTGAGACTACCGGTCTTCTCCAGGAAGGCACTCAACACTGCTCTAGTATGGGAGCGAAGAGCAAGCTTTAAAATAAAATTATGGCCACTTCCAAAGCAACAGTGAAGAGGATGAGCCATTCTGGGCTTGATTTGACTTTCAAATTCAGTGTGGAATTCATGCTGAAGGGAACATCTCCTTGACATGTCTTGTTTGGAGAATTCAAAACAGTGGTGGGGCTGGCACGTAGAAAAATAATGACACACAACCGACAGCGTTCCTACATTGCTCAGCGGCTAAACTGATGCTCAGAATTTTGGAAACTCTTGGCAGAATTTCAGTTAAATACTTCCAGGTCAGAGCCTGGAGCTTGTGAACATATTTGTGTGTCATTTACCAGATTACCCACCCACTTAGAAGCCTAGAGTCAAGTGTTAGTCAGATGGTGCTGATAATAATTATCCATCTGTTTTATAGGGGTATTTTTTAAAGCATATTATTTATATGGTTGAGTGTAACTATTGCCATGTGTTTGTGAGGCACGTAATCTAGACCCAGCAGAGATGATGGTGGTGCTTTCAGGAAGCCAGCAGCCCAACAGTCACACTAGGATGGCAAAACACTGGCTTAACTGTTTTTGTTTCCTTTTGTGCCACAGATGCCCCTGATACTCCCCAAAATCTCACTTGTGAAACACCCAACTTCTTGATAATAACATGCACCTGCAAACCAGGCAGACCCAGTGGACTATACGGAATACGAGGGACAAAGTACAGTTTATTGGAAAGGTAAAACAATTCAGCATTAAAAGGAGTAAAAGAGCAGAACTGGAATATATCCGTTGCTGCCCGTGACTTAATTGCACTATGCCTATTTAAAGGAGGTGGTCTCCACTGTTTAGAGCCTAAAGTACTTTTCAAGAGTTTGCGGAAGTTTAAACTAAACTGAACTTGGAGAACCCCTGCCTAGCTTTGCAAAATTCCAGTGGGAATTAAGGATCACTTTTACCAAAGACTTATGCCATTATGAATTGATAAGAGAAGAAGGGGCTTAGTGCGTCAGGCTGCTGACAAAGTGTGTGAAAATACCGGAAGATGCTAGGGTTCATTCACTAATTTTACTTTATTTTTTTCTTATATGCAACCTGTGTCAGGTCATCTATCAGACATTTATGTAGCTTCTGCTATGCAGGGTGACACAAACTAAGTGAGGAGAAATTATAAGACAGGCCGTGGGGTATTTCCTGAATGCTACTAGGGAACAGCAATAAGCCTACAGCCATTCTCCTCCCAGGACTAAGAACTAGTGTTGAACAAGCAAAGTGTGTGTTGCCTGGAAAACATTGAACGGGGCAAATAACACTGGCATCAGCCGTGGAAAGAAGTGAAGACTGTCTTATGTTGTAGATTATATAAAGCCTTAGAAGTGAAGAATCTTTGTTTTGGAATAACACTTCCACATGAGACTCCTTTGCAGTCATGATTAGAAGATAGTAAGGAGTTAACAGAATTCCCGTGGCGAGGAGAGGCTCCCTCATAATGCCAAAGGAACAGTCAGGGAAAGGATCCAGAAGAGGCCTGAGTCACACAAACTGAGGGGGAATTGAGTCTCCTGGTGGCTTTGAGGCAAGTCAGAGGCAATGAGGATTGAGTTACAGTCACAGATGTCCTTCAGGTTGCTAGTGCTAAAACTGTCATTGGGTAGGTGCAAAGAAATGAACAAAGTAGAGCAGATATTCAAAGGAAGGGAGCTCTAGTCACTGGCAGCTGCCCATATTCGGCTCATAAACGAGAATGAAGTTCAGACTTGTTCTGCTCAGCCCAAAACTGCAAGGAGATTAATGTATTTCAGGGTAAATATTCTCATCCTTGTTCACAGCCCACATTGTGCTATTAAAATAGAGAGTGTGGTGTGGAGAGAGCTCAGAGCTCAGTTAGAACACAATAAAAATGCCTGAAGGATGAAATTAAATTTGTGCTACTGAGTGAGAGGTTCACACAGACTGTAATTAAAGCAACTTCTATATGCACACATACATAGAGATACACTCTAGATTTTACCCTGAAAGGTGTAGCTCTTTTCTTGGCTGTTACCGGACTGCCACTCTTGCTTTTGATTTAAAAGCCACTGGAATCAGTAGATGTATCCCAGGTAATCAACATGAGTTTAAATTTGGTAGGGCTGACAGAAAGACATAATGTGTGTCACATCCCCCTAGTTCAGAAAGCAATTAAGAACGTTCTTTAAACGCAAGTGTATGCTGATCTGAACCAAGATACTTTAAACCAGAATCTCAGTTGTGACTTGTTAGCTCGTTTTACAGGACCTACCTGTTTTCCAGGGTTTTGAAAAGTGAGAGGATGGAAATGTTATGCTAGTGGAAGAGGAGTATTTCACATGTGAACAGGACAAGTCATGACTGATGCCACTTCAACCTGCGTTGTGGTGTTAGATATACCTCAGCAATCAAGTAATTCTCTAAGCCACGTGTCAGTTCTTTACTGTGTTTTCAGTCGAGGCTTCTGACTGTTGGTAGAAATTACCTTGTTCAAAAATTAAGTTGTTCCTTCCCTTTTTATTTTGTAGGATATCTGGTAAAAATGTTTCATGTGAAGTCAGTGAAAAGAAAAGAGAAGGTGTCTGTGAGTTTCCAGTACTGGCTGACCGAAAAACCTACGATTTCGTATTAGGTGTCTCCAATCCTATCGGGCAAGCAGAGTCATCGCTTTTGGTTGACTTAACTCAAAGAGGTAAGAATTACAAAGGGAAAAATAAAATTTTACTGCATGCTAACCATTTGCTTGTTTGGGGTTTGAAGAATGCTGACATGGTATCCTTGTCATAATTTTGCTTTATTGTCACCATTTTTTTTCTGTATCTGATAATTCGAACTTGAAAAGAAAATGGTGTAGGACATGTCCTGAGGCAGCAATTAGGTAGGTGTACAGGGAGATGCCAGTTCTCAACAGCAGTACTACCAGATCAAGTACACTGCTGTGTGTATAAATGCTACTTTAACTTAGCTGCTTTTTATGTATTACTTTACATTCTAGTACACATCAGTAATTAAAATTCAGGTGTAAATTTATGAACCATAAGTGACCCTTTATTTTAGTGTCCGCTTATAGTACAAAATATTGTGCAGTTTTACAACAGCAGGATTTGAAGCATAAAAGAAGTATCACTGAAAGGTAACAGCAGGAGTACTACCTGCTCTTGGTTATAGCCATGCATATCTGCTGTTGTTGCTTGTAGAAAGGAATAACTTCTTTTATTAGATCTTGAGTTTAAACAAAGAAAGGGAGAAGATGACCACCTTTCTTGTGCTGTTTTCCCCACCCTTTTCCATCTGCTTTCACAAGCACAGCCAAGGAGTCAGGGCTTCTTAATAGTTACAGCACTCTGCTATTGTCTCTGAAAAACTGAAGTTAAACATGAAGATGGTGCAAGATTTTTGTCCATGAACCAATTCAGCTAGCCTGAGGTTAAAACTGAGTAAGTTGGCAGGTCCTGGCAGAGCGTAATTTGTTTCTGTGAATTAGAGACTGGGGTATTCTACACCCAGTCAATATGACTGCTCTTTCCTACTTGTTTCTTTTCCTTTCATTCCCTTACTTAATTCCCAACATAGAGTACATATTTCCTTAAGGGTAACTGGACTGATTCCAATATTAGAGATTTTTTTTCTCTGATAGCTATGAATAGTAGTTTTGAATATTATTGACAAATAATATTCTGAGAAGAACACCAGGAGTGAGACTGCTATCAGGTGCCTTACCAGCACCAGCTGTCCTAATCAGTGATCAGTTCCCTTATTTATCCTTCTGATTCTCTTGGGTCTCTTAAAAAAATCAGATTTTTTTCTGAACTAAAATGAATGCTTTTTTTCTTAGAATTTAAGGGTTTATTTCTTTATGTTTCTTTAGTTCATCCAAACACTCCAGAAAAATTAACTGTTTCCAGGATCAGCTCTTCAAGTGTCCGTCTACATTGGTTTCTAAATGGCAGCTTTGCTGAGATCAGGCTTCTGTGTCAAATTGAAATTAGCAGTGGTCGCTCTGAGCCAAAAATAGTAAGTGTTGCTTTTAATGGATTTTGGTAGGGGAGGGCACAAACGGTGATCTGTTTCATTGAACTAGTCACATTTCAAGTTCTTTTTCGCTCTAAGGGCTTCCTTCTGATTATCTTATTAAATTATTCATATAGAAATGACTAGAAGTTCATCTACTAAAACCAGCAAAGATTCTGCACATCTCTGTTGTTGCGTGCTTTCTTGTTGTCGTTGTTGGTTTTAAACAATTTCAAGGAAAGTCAAATTACCCACCACTTTATTTGGTACTTCGAGGGAATGCATAGTTCTTTACTCTGATCCTTTAGATAACAGTTCTGTGCTGTCCTTGGACCTGTTTTCTAATACACACTTGTTCTTGAGGCAACCGGTTCTAGTATATATTTGTGGTTGAATTTCCTTTTTTTTTTTTTTTCCCTCAGAGAACAGCTCATTTGCTTGCTGTCAGCAATTGAGGTGCATGTGGCTGTAATAGGGAGCTGCTAAACCTGCTTGTATGTCAGTGATGCAGAGAAAGGTTAGGGAAGGATTCTCCCACTGGGCATATCAGTAATTAAACCCTGGTGAAGAGCTCTGCAGCTGAAGAGAAGGTGGCATTTCTAGGCGGGGTTCAGATTTTCCATCATTCATGCTTCCAGCTGCTGCCCGGCTGTGGTGGTCTGCATCCCTGACTGCAGCGGTGTATAGACTCCACTGGCTGTCAGAGTAGCTCAGAATACTAAATTAGACACGAGCAGCAGATACTAAGTGTAGGTGGTGGGAATATATCCTCTTCTCTGTATTGCCTAACTTAGTGTGGGGTGATCTGGGTCACTGGGGAGCTGTAATGGCAGAGCTTCATGTTCAGTTGACCTGATTTTTACCCCCAAATTCCATGGATGTGTGTTCAGATGGACTATCTCCGACCAGCTTGGGTACACAGTTGCTGAATTGTCGTGTCTTGGTGCACAGAGCCTGAATTTTTAATTTGAGTGCATTAACCTCAGAGGCTGCTTTTTACAGTGCTTTGATTTTCAGCAGTATTGATTCTATTACCCACTACATTTAGTTGCTCTTTGGGCACAGCTGTTGGGCACAACCTGGAATAAAGTCACCCAGAAGTGATGCGGCTAAGACTAAAGATAATCATTATATATATATTACCTTTAAAATAAAAGGTTAGTAGTTAATGCATGCTCTGTAAGAGTATTTTTAAATACAATCAAAGCTTTTAATGACTGTAGAAGTCTTAAGTTTTTATATTTTTTCTGTAACGACACGTATTAAGAAGTACTCAGAGATTAGATTAGGTACTGCAAAGGGAATCATAGGTATCTTTGGATTTACTGGCTTTTAGATGTGCATGACAGCTCTGACAGATGAGCAGTGTTGGAATTTGGTGTAGTGTAAGATGCTGTCACCAACAGTTGTCTGCATTTCTCTGCTCCAAACAGTTACTGCTTCTGGAGCAGTCAGCAGGGAAAGCAAGAACTGCTAAAAAATTAGATTTGCACAGCTGCGTCTAGCCAGAGTTACGCTGCTTGATGCCTGGGGCACACACTTGTGAACTCTGCTACCAGGTCAGTCATTTGGGGCAGTGGAAGATAGTGAGGTCTTACACTGCCACAGCAGTTTGATTCACTGCACCTGTATCACATCCTGCAGCTACAGATATTTTGAAACACAGCAAACAGCTTGGAAGGAGCTTGAAACACAGAAACAGCTTGGGAGAAGCTTTCACAGCCTTGTTATGTTGTCTCTTGTTCCTTAAAAAAACCTCCAAGAGTTCTCTGTAATAAACAAAAGTAGCTGTGAAATTGTTACAGGGTTTTACATGGCATTTTGAGGATGTTTTCAGAAGCTTTTCTGTCCATGTGAGAGTTTGTTGGCTTTTTTAATATTTTTCAAGTTGTCATTTGGCTTTAGAAATGCACAATTAGTTGCATCTTAAAGTCACTTGGAGTCCAGTTTTGGGCAGATGTGATGCACATGTGTTATAATTAGATTCAGTAAAATATATTCCCAGGCGTAGGGTTTCTCTAAGTAATCATGAACTCGAAATACTCCCTAGAGTCCATTTTAAGAATAATAGTCCTGTTATAAAAGCTGTGAACGGAGATCACCTGGAAAAGACTTGGGTGCTATCTTTTGAAGGAGAAATGACTGCCTAGGAGGAAGACTACAATAAACATCTTCCTCAGACAGACTGTCTTTAGCTTCTGTCCACGCAGTTTGATGTGCAGGTTCTGAATACCAGAGGTGAGCTCCTGCCCTGCCTTGTAGGAGCAGGTTTGCTGCATATGGGAGAGAGGGGGACTAGAGAGGATACATGGGAAGCAACAGCCTGCTCCTGTGTGCAACGCTCATCCTATTGAAGACTTAACAGTGTCATCTCACTGTTTCAGGCTTTACATTCCAAAGGTGCTACCAACTGTCGTATTTCAATTTTTGTGCTATATATGACTTTATGTTGGCAGACCTGTGAAAACATTTCCTTTGTTTAGGGTGACTGCATAGGAAATATTTTTCTTTTCATTATTTCTTTGTAGGGCTTGACTGCAGCTTTTTTTTTTCAGTCAGTATTCTTGGGGGAAATACCACCTTTTTAGCTGTTAATTTTTTAGCATAATCTAGGAACAAAAGATATATATGTTTATTATGTCAATTTCTGTGCACTTTTCACAGCACAATGTCTCCATGCCTGGTGGAAAATTCTCAATTTACACAGCTCAGCTGAACACATTGCTCCCATATACCAAATACCAATTTAGGGTGCGCTGCTCGGCTGCTGACGACTTCTGGAGGTGGAGTGACTGGAGCAGGATAGAGGAGTGTACAACACTGGAGGCCCGTAAGTTTATTTAATTCTTTGTTGATAAAATGTTAAGCTTGTGAAGTCATGCATTCCAAAATTAGTGCTCTAAACCCCTAACTTTTTAATAGATGGTCTCTGCAACTTGAAGGAAATTTTTTTTTTTTTTTTTTTCTTCTTAGCTCCTGCAAGAGGGCCAGATATCTGGAGAGAGAGGAGTGCATCTGGAAAAAGTCTAAAAATCTTCTGGAAGGTAGATAGAACGCTGAAAGTTTTAACATATTATGTAATGTAACTCTATGAGAAACTATTTCCTTACACATCTATAAATGACTGACGTTTATAGTCGATAAATCAGACTGCTTTTCTTATCTTTTCTAGAACCATCCATTGAAACAAGTGTTTTTTCCCAAATGAGAATATTGTTGAAGTTCTAAGATTTAAACATTGCATTGAGAAGCATTTTGCATGAAGAAGTAAATTTTTAATACATGCCAGATGCAAATTAAAAACTTGGCAACTTGTGTGTTAATTCTCAAAGTCACACTTGAGTAACAGTTTTTTCTGCCTCATAGTCCTATACAGTCATCAAACGAGATCAGAACATTAAATTCATATTATCCTATGTTTTCTTTTGTTTATTATTTTGTTTTTTAATGTGCTCTCTGTCTGTTCATAGCCTTTATCCCTTTCTGAAGCCAATGGAAAAATAGTGTCTCATGAAGTGTCCTGCTACCTGCTAGAGACCCCACTGGAGTACAAAGAAGTCACCGAACCCTCAAACAGTACTGAGATAAAACTTGGAAAAAATGACTGTGTAATTAGTGTTGTAGCCAAAAACCATGCAGGCTCATCTCCTCCTTCAAGGATAACAAGTGTAGAACTTCCAAGTGGTGAGTGCTCCCAGCAGAGAGCTAAACATCTTCAAAGCCTGGGGAATACCTGGGCAAGTTTGTTTATTGAAAAATAAGATAGATACATGCTTGTTTGTGTTTGGTTTCTGGTTTACTTCTCCACCCAAATCCACTGGGTGGGGAAGAAAAAATTGCTGGTGTAGAGTATCCTCTCACTGATTAGTTGTGGTCTCTGCTGACAAGGAAACTGATGATGTGTAGCCTCTGCAGCTATTTGCATTTTTCTGGAGACCTCCCAGGAATAACAAGGATGAGGCTTCAAAGCATTAATGTCAATCTCTGATGTATAGGGAGCTCAGTTTATTTCTGTGTGTTCTTGCTGAGGTGCTAAAAAGTGTTACATGCTGAAGAGAATCTGAATAAAGTTTTGGGGGTGTTGTGTGGCTTTTTTAATGGGAGAATTTTCAGTTCAATGCCTGTGAGTTCTGCAGGAGAATATTAATTGGGCTGGTTGGTAAAGTGTTGGCATACTTGTGGTAGGAGCTGGTGTTTGAAAGGGAGGTAGGACTTTAGCTTCTCAATTAAAGCTCTTGGTGCAGGCTTTTGTAAAGGGAAATAGCTGAGCCAGATAATGTTTTTCTGTTCCTAACACTGAGCTTGGGGAGAAGACAGTATTGCATGTGGCTATTTAGAGTCCATGCTTCTCTCTGTGCCAGGAAGGGAGTAATCTTCTGAAGTCCAAAACTTTAGCTCCAGATCAGGCTGATGCTCTGCAGGGAGGATAGATTTACCCTCTCTATTTGTTTACCAAGAAGATGTATGGTGCTGCTTCTCCTTCCCTCTCCAGAGCACAAGTACCACAGTTGCCTGTCTTGCAACTCAGGTTTTGGTAAGACAGGGCCATCTTTCGTAGGAAGAAATGTGATTTGCTTGAGATTCACAGTGAGAGAAAAAACAAGTTTGCTTCTATGCAAAAGAAAAACGTTGTTCTTAGTGTTTTTTGTGCTTTTCCAAAACACCAATACCTAAAAATATATTCTTAGTCTGCTTCTTGGAGGGAAAAGCAGTTGTACAGAACAGTTGAATGAATGAGAATGCTTTTGTAGCTCTCCTTCAGCAGTGAAAGAGCAAGACTCTAGGAGTTCTGGAGGTCTCTGTAAAAGGTTTGTGGTGTGGGACAGCTGATGGCATCTGGAGCTTTGTGTTCATTTATAGCTTTCTGTTGGATGTCTGAGGTTCCCTTTGGTGTTACCCAACTTGTACTCGTTGAAAATTTGCTCCCAAGTTGGTATAGGAATTATCTGAGTCACTGACTGGAGTCATGAAAGGTGACTCATTCACTGAACTGGATGACATTTCTACCCAAACATCTTTTCTGGCTGCTTCCTGTGAACAGTCTGTAAGTGCTTTTAATGTCCATAAGAGAGCACTGGCTCTGAAGCTTGAGATCTGCTGAGGTTTTGTGAAAACTGAAAACACAAAGGGTATTCTGCCTTACTTGATTTGTCTGTGTCTCTGAAGAGAGCTCTGTAGATACTTGGGCCATATAATCTGGCTGTTACATGTCCCCCCACCACAGTAGTACTGTAGCACTAGTAGTTATTTCTACTAGGTTGCAGCTATAAATACACTAAAATGAGCAGTACTGCCCTGGGTGAATTTCTAGTCATCTGGCACAGGAAATAAAAATGAGTGTGGTGTATTTAAGCATTTTTTAGGAAGTATGTGCTTACTGTCAGTAAAAAGTCTTTCTTGTATATAGGAAAATTAAAGCAGTCTAATTAGAAATATGCACTATTCAAGCATCATAGAAATGTAGTTTCACTGGATACATAGTAGTTTTTCAGGGAGTATTGAAAGACCTCTGAAGTTGACTTACTTTTTTTAGTCCTACATCTTTCTTGCCATAAGCATACTAGAAAAGGATTTGTACACTGGACTGTATGTTAAGATTATTTAGAAATAGCCAGTCCTTCGGCGGTCACAGCACGTCTGTGAGAGTAAAGTTTTCACAGCACTGGTTCTTAAAAACTGCCCTTGCCCTTCAGCCTTCCATAGTTTATGGCTTTAATAACATGAAATAATAGACTCAGTAGGGAGCATAAATGAGAACACTGAAAAAGGAAAAACTGAAACCCTGAGATTGTTTTTGCAGATTTGTTGTGGGGCCACAGCTGCTGTGGTGGCCTTTGGAAAACATCCCTTAACTCGGCAGGGTCTCGTCTGATGGACAGCCATGGAGAGGAACTGCAGGAACCAGAGGTCGTTCCCAGATCACTTCAAGGGCAGCTAAACCTTTGATAATCAGAAACAAGAAGAATAGACTAAAGGCAAAGCTTGCCTTTTTTTTTTTTTTTTTTTTTTTCCCCAATTTATCCTTGGCAGACTGGAGTCTCCATGAAGTTCATCAGGGACTTGTTGCTGTTGATTCTCAGTGAAAAATGGTTATCTGTGGTCAGGCGAGTGACAGTGAGACACTTTGAAAGGAACACAAAGTGAACTGTTTGATGACATGACAGAAAAAAAATAGCTGGAGGCTGCTGCCAAATTGGTGTCAAGTCAGATTTGAACCTGATGTCTGCTGTTAATCCTTACCTTGCAAAAGCTCTTTTTAAGCCAGTCCTGAGCTGCTGCATTTCTCGTCATCACACTTAAGGCTGGCTGAGGGATTTGCTGCGGGCTACGTCTGAGCTCCAGCCCTTCAGAAAGCACAGCTGAGTGCACTGCTTTGGGTTTCATGGTACCAGCAGTGCACCTCTCATTCTTAGAAGTTACTGCCATTTATAAAACCTTTGTGCTGTGGCTGGAAGGCTTTCTTCCAGCTTGGGCTACACATAAGTGTCTGCTCTCTGATGGATTTTTTTATCGTCTTTGTTGCAGACAATGTCAAAACAGATCGAGCTGTGGCAATGGGGAATGGAATTTACATTTCTTGGAATTCCTACCCTAACATGACCTGTGGCTACATAGTAAAATGGTGTCATTCATCTGGGTCTGAACCCTGTAGTGTGGACTGGCAGAAATTTCCTTCAAATACAACAGATGCAGTGATAAAGTCTGGTAAGTCAGAAATAATTTTTTGTGAGTCTTACTGGTTGAGAGCCTGAGCAGTGAGTGGAATGAGAGCAGCACTAGTGCCATAGGTTGGAGATCATTGCACTGCTGGGTGCTTGTGTATATAAATGAAGCCCTTTTTGGTACTGTATTTATTTTAATTTTTTACACAGCCTTGCCAAATCCAAATATCAGTCTTGGGTTAACTCTTATCGTCCTGTGTTTATTAACTGTTTTGAAATTACCTCTTGTAGCTCTCCCTCTACCACTCAACAACTTTCCAGCTCAGCCTAATGCATAACATTTAATCTAGGGTTTGGGGTTTTATTTGGATTCTAAACATAAACAGTGCTGCTCAGGATGGAGGAAGACTAATCCGTTGTTTTTACATGAAGCAGATTTTTTTAAGTGTGACCTCCATGTGCTGGCTTGCTGTCAGCAATTGAAATTTCCTGGAACAGGGCACATTCCAGGTCTCTAGATGCTGGTGGGCAGATCAGAGAAATGAAACTCAGCTGTGGAGGGCCTAGTAAGAGCAGAAGAGGAAAGAAAGGACCCAAGAAAGATGTAGGATTCTTCCCTGCTGTTTAAAAGGGTATATATTTCCTTATTAGAAGAGTTTAGCATATAAAGTCTCCATTATAGAAAACAACTTGGAGCTGAGTGCTTAGGAAAGTCTGAGGGGAGTGGGACTCGGGAGGAGGGGCAATATATTTTCTTGCCTGTAATTACAACGCTGTGTCCACGTTGTTTTCGTTTTTTCTGGCTAGAGCTTGATTTTTCTAAGCAGACAATACTAGGTCTGTCCAGTGATGCGCTGTTCTATTCCCAAGCTCTTCCCTGGGATGCTTCTTGTAGCATGTTATGGGAGTTTCCAGGCTGATAGAGCAGGGGTCCAGCTCACAAATTCACCTCCGTGCTTAGTCCTGCCAGGAGAATCTCTCAGACTGAACCTGAACTCATGCAAAAGCCACTTGACTTCTGCAGAGTTCCACGGTGGCGTCTTCTTGAGAGAAACTCTTGAAAGTAGTGTACACTCCTGACTTGAGAAAGTTCCAGGAAGTAGTAAATTATTTACAGATTTTAGTATCAAACACTTCTACCAAAGACATGTGAACCAGAAATTTGATTACTACCTGTGTTTTTGCAGTCATTCCAGGCCTGGACTTCATTGCCAAAGCACTTCACTATCACTTTTGAGATTTCTCTGAGTTTCTGTTGTAGTGTTGCTGTAGTAAACCTGGATATTTCAAAATGCATTTGTGTTTCTAAGGAGGAGGCAGGATCTGCATGGCTACTGTGGGAGGAAGGGAAGGGGATTGTTTCTGGTAACTTTGGTTTGCGTTTCTCCATGGAAAGAGCTATTTATGCAATTTGAGTCGCTTGTTTTGAATCCTGTTTGTTTAGAAACAAAATTTCTCCAGGAGCTAGGTTTGCTTACTGCTTCTAAAACATGTCTGATGGTGTAGCTTTTATAGGCATTGCAAGTAGGCATAGTATTTATACCTAACACTTGTCTAAGACTTTGTAATTTTTTAATATGTATTTATATGCCTGCACCATGTGAAAGCTGAAAGCACCACTCTTCATAAAAGAAATATTCTTACAGTGTTTTTTCTCTTGCAGCTCTGTTTAGACCTGGTGTGAGATACAACTTTTCACTGTATGGCTGCAAAACCAGTGGATATCAGTTACTGAAAAACATAACTGGGTATACGAAAGAGCTGCGTAAGTGCACTTTATCATTCAGGATCTTTACAAAGTGAATTTAGACTGTGTCTATTTTTAGCTTAGTGTTGGCAGAAGATGGAGACTAGAATCCCATACAGTACTACAGCCTTTTGCTTGTTCTCTGCATGTAATCCTAATACATTTCTACAGCCACTTCTAGTTCCTAGCATGCAATAACCCCGTGTTCTTCAGCTTGTGTGGTGGCACAGGGTGTCAAAGAAGTTTTCTCTGAGGACAGTGGACTTCAGTTGAAGTCATAGGCATAACTTGAACCATAGGAGTGGGATTATTTCTTCAGGAAACGAGGCAACTTTTTTTTGATTTGTCAAGCCAAAGGGAACTTCTGAGCACATTTGGTACAATTTAGAAAATATAAAAAGTGTCCACAACATTTCTGTTCAAAAGCTCTTCTTAGAGCAGAACTCAATCCTAGAGGACAAGCCACTCAGAAAATTGCATTTGTACTCTCTCCCACACCAACTCGCTTTGGCTAAAAGTGGTCTGATCCACGGCTGAGCTTTGCTTGCCTGGAGATGAATTAGTGTCAGAGTGCTTTCTCTTCCCAGGTATATGAACATGGCTTTACCCTTTAGCATCACAACTATGTTGTATTGTAACTATAGCACCCATTTCTCCTTGAAGTTTAATGTGTTTTCTGCTGAAATAGTTTGCCTGGAAAACTGAGCTGCTAACATAATCCAAACCCTTGGAAATGCCATCGTTTATTTCACTGCAAGGTTGAAGGTGGGGTTAAGGCAATTTTACCAGAAGCTCAGCTTGTAGCCATTTCTATCTCAGTAAAAATCCTCAACAGTTTCCTAGAAGTCTTTTCCATATGTGCTCTCAAGAGATTGGAAGCTTTCAAGGTTAAAGGATAAAGACTTTGGGGGAATAAAAATGCATCAAATGTGCCGAAGAAACTTACTATGAACTGAAAAAGCTATTCCCTTGGCACAAGAGCATACATCCATCTAAAATGTCAGATTTGCCTTTGGACAGATAACCATCAAGACAAAAATAGATGCACTCTTAAACATGAGTTCAGCACTGGTAGATCAATGCCAAATGTCAGAATAAGTCCTGGTGCACATGACCTTATACAATATCTGCTGTAACACTTTCAGTAGGGTACTTGAAATGGAATACAAGGTATTGGAATTGTATTGGTACAAGGTATTGGAATAAAGGATTTATGATGCCTGCTGGGAGTAGTTCTTTTAAGCTGAGAGAGATTTCCATGATAGAAATGTGGAGTTCATTTAATTTGAAGACAAGCTATGAAGTCACAGAGTTAAAGCCTTTAAAAGCTAAATAATATGTATGCTCTGAATGTTTATGCAGTCTTTTGGGGTTTGTTGCAGAAGAAGGGTATTTACATATATGGGTTTGTAAAAAGGCTGCCCACAGGGAGATTTTGCTTTCAGCATCTGTTAGTAGATAGTACTGCACTAATGAATAAGAATGAGACTGACATACTTGTATTTTTGTAGTATCACCTGCTAAGTCTTTTTACATGCTTTTTACAGTGAGAGAAAATTATTCAGGTAAAAGTTGAAAATGCGAACCCTGAAATAAAACTGCTGAAACACTTGGATTCAGCATTTAATGATAAGGTAGTTTCTTACTAGCTTTTTTCTTTGCAATTCTCTCTACAGCTCCAAAACGTGCCCCAAATTTTACTGTAGAAGAAACTTCTTCGGATTCTATATTGGTAAAATGGGAAGAAATTCCTATTGAAGATTGTCAGGGTTTTTTAGAGGGATATCGACTTTCCTTTGCGAAAGGTGAAAAGGATCCTTTAAAGCCTAGGCTTTCAGAATCAGGTAAATGAAATCTACAGGTTGCAACTTCCTTGCTCAAGGATTTTTTTTTTTGTTTTTCTGTTTTAAAAACTTAATTTCACTTTTAAGAAGGATGCTTTAATCACAATTCAGTTGCGTTACTCACTGGCGTAATTGGTGCCTGATATGTGACAAAGGCATTTGGAATAATCAGCTCCTTATGTTGTTAGCACGGTTGTTTTTTAAAATAAGGCAAGAGTTGGAGAAAACCTTGGCTCACTGAGGCCACAAAGCTATGCAGTGACTAAGTGGCAGTGTGACACACTCTGTACAGATACCCTGGGCAGATGAGACATGGGGGAGGTTACACTGCTATAATCAGACACCCGTATTGTAAGGACATGTCTGTACACAACTGAAGCCTTACTCACATCAGCATAAGAGGGCAAGCAAGGTGTAAGAAACGGAAGTAAATCTGTAGTAACGACACACTTCTGTGCTGTTTGGTGCTTTGTAAGCAAGCAGCATTTCTAGGGTTCCGTATCTTGTTTGTCCTCTACGCAGACTGTTCTTCAGGTTTTGTGTGCTGACTTCAAGAAGGCCTTGCTAAAGCTGAGGCTGTCTTTGTGAATCCTTTCTTACAACCTTATGCTTTTCTTACTGCTTCCAAACAAACAGGGAATCCAGAACTTAAAGTTAAGAATATCACTGACTTAACAAAGAAGTCTTTGAAAATACTTGATCTTCAAGGCAAAACAAGTTACCAGCTGGACCTACAAGCCTACACCGCTGGTGGGTTGAGCCCTCCAAACAGCCTCTATGTGGTGACAAAGGAGGACTGTAAGTTGAATGTCTCTGCTCATTAACAGCCTTCATTCAGCACAGGGGCTGTACAATGTATGTAAAGCTGAGTTTATTTGTGTTTGTGGGGTTTTTCTGTGTGTGTGGTTGTTGTTGTTGTTGTTGTTTGTTTTTACCGGTCTCCTTAGGTAGTTTGAGCCTACAGTCTAATTTTTTATTTATTTAGTTATTTTTAAATGAAAAAATGGATACATTTCAGGGTGAGGGAAAGATCCTTTCCTATTACAGCTACAGTGTAGTTCATGGTAATGTATGCAAGAAAAATAACTTCTAAACTACTACTAAATATGGTGGAGTCTGAACTTAGTCTTCTCAAGCAGCTAGTTGTTCTTGTCAGGTTTCCCATGATGAATGTCTGCTAATACATGGTAGGAAGAAAGACCTTATGGAAATATTTACCAGTTTCAGAATTATAAACAGATGCCTTTCTGCTTTGAATTCAATTTTATCGAACCCTTGACAGAAACAAACCCAGAAAGCTAGTTAGAAAAAAAGAGATTGACTTTGAAGGATGAAAAAAAAAAAAAAATCATGATGTATTTCATAGGGAAGACTAAACACTGGAGTGCAACTAGAAGATGCAAAAAATCAAACCTGAGGCACATAACATCAGTCGAGGAAGGCAGTGGGAATGTATTGGAGCTAAACCCCAGGGGATTGGAAGCATTGTAAACTGTGTAAAAGTTAGTGCAGTTGGTGAAATGAGCTGTTAGCCTATACCAAGAGCCACTGCCAGAAACCTGTCCAGCCCAAATAGCCTGAAAGTGCAGTTGCAGTGCTTACTGAGAACAGAATTACAGTGGCAATCAGCCTTGTGCTGCACATGAAGCCTTTTGCAATTAAGAACTCAGAAGTATCTGCTGAATCAGTTCTGCTTACACATGGACTTCTGCCCTTGCAGCAAAGGAGAGGTGTATGCTGTAGGTCACTGTCTGCAAACCACTGTTAGATGAGTTTAATGAAGTGGCCTCTAAATTGTGGAAATGTTAGAAAAGGCATAAAAGTTGCTGGTAACTTTGGATATATATATTTACCTTCTTTTCTTTTTTCATCCCCCAGCTGTAGGGTTAATCATTGCAATTCTCATCCCCGTGGCAGTGGTTGTGCTGCTTGGAGTGGTGGCCAGCATCTTCTGCTACCGAAAGAGGGAATGGTAAATGCCTGCATTCTGTTCAGATCTTTTCCTGGGTGTGTTTGCTTCAGTGTTAGAATTTTCCATTATTTTAGTTACTCTTTGTTTTCTCCAAGTAACCAAAGATGTCAGAGGGCTTTGTTGTGGCAAAACCAAATTGTAAAAGGTGAAGGAGAAATTGAGTTGGAGTGAGGTCAGAGTGAGGAATGCAAAAAGGATGTGCAGTGAGCACTGTTTATAAATAGTTCCCAAACTGAAATTACCTGGTGATGTACTATAATTTGTGAGCCATCCACAAACACTCAGGTTGATGTCTCAACTTTTCGTAAATGTGGCATATCAAATTCCCCAGTTTAAAAAAAAAAAAAAAAAGAACGAAGG